TGCTCCCAGGTGAATCTTAATGATCAACAGTGAACATCATGACTGGAAAAAAATGAGTAACTAACAAAATTTAGAATTTGGATAAGTTATGGGAGTAATGTTTATTCTGAGCATGGGAATGTATATCAAAAATGGAAGCAAGAATCTCACACTAGTGCAGTAGTGGGCAGAATTTAGAGATGGTCCTACTGACCTCTGCCCCATGGTGGCACTAGCACAGTATACTGCAGCACACTGTAAGAATACCACAAAGGGTATATTGGTAATGCAATGCAAATTGCTGGTCAGTTGACCATAAAATTACTCAGGTAAACTTTAATTATGTAAGAATTCTCCCAGCTAGAAGCAAAAAAAGAAAAAAGAACAGAAAAGTGGGGAGTGGGTGGGATTGAGAGAGATCTGAGGCATGAGAGATTTGTGTGGGATGCAGAAGGCCACATGTTGAGATGGAGAAGCCACAGGAAATGGCTTAAAGTCCCTTCTAGGAGCAAGTGCCAGCTTCAGCCAATAGCTAGAAGACAGGGATTTCAATCCCACATCTTCAGGAAAATGAATTCTTCTGGAAAGGATCACCAGGGAAGGAGACTCCAGAGACAGAAGGCACAGAAGAGCCCTGCCTGGCTAGAGGACAAACAACCTGGTTTTCTGATCTAACCAGCTACACATGTTGTTTTGTATAAAGATTATTATTTTAGCAATATAAAACTGATAATTAGCAACAGAGGAACACTGACACACAGGTTTAAGAGTCATAGCTCAGAAGCCATCGTACTAGGTGGGCTTGCCACCAAAAGTAAACAAAGGAAAGAAATCGAAAGACATCTTGAAGGATGGGTACAGCCATCATCCCCAAAACCGAACTGTTTTTCATCTAGGTGGTTAAGGGGTGGCTTCTAGATAGCAAGGGTGCTTCTAGATGGTAAGGGGGTGTCTTCTATAGACAGCAAGTTCAATGGCCGAGTGTTCTCTCTCTAGCAGTCCTTCAGGTAAAGTGCACTCTATCATTACAAACAGGAACAAACTCTGCCAAGATGCAATGATGTCAGCCCAGGAAGACTTGCCCTCTGATCCTTCACTTACTCAGCTCCGTGGGCACTTTGTACTCATGTACGCTCCTTCTACAGAGTGTGCTATTTCTATAATCTAAATAATTCTGCTTTGTCCACCAGAATACACATATTTACCCTTTAAAAGAGAGAAAGAGAAAATAAGGCCAAAAACCCGATCCCCTAATAGCTGGTAATATCCATAAGGGGACTGAAATCCTACAACTAGACGTCTCTGAGCCCCTTCCAAAGCTAACACGGTTTTCTTGACTTCCTAAACATAAACAGATGACTCTTATCACAGTACTTATCAATAATTATCTTGCATGAAATCTTCAGGATATTTCCCTCCCCAAGCCTTGTCCTACACCACTATTCAATCAGACCAAGAGCTACAAAATCATTAATTACATAAAAGCTGGCACTGAGCAACATCCATTAATCAAACATGGACGAGCTCATGTGTGCATAATTAATAACTGTTTTCTCACCACATCAAAGTCGATCGCCTTCTCACAAAATTTTAATCACTTTCCAACATATTCCCATCAGCTTAATTATATTTGAACACAAATACAGAAAAAAATTTAAAACTAAGGCATTTTTAAAGCTAACTTATTAAGATTTGGTAACTCAAAAAAAAAAAATTCCAAGGAAATGAGCTACTCATGCAACTAACATAGAATTCATCTCTGGAAAATCTTATGAGAACTGATGTAATTATTTAGCTTTTAAATGATTAAAAGAGAAACTTAAAGCGGTACTACACAGATTCAGTCAGACATCAAAGTTATCAGGGGCCTTAGCAGCACATTAATCAACTGCACACAGATGGGCTCGAGGGTCCTGTGTGTGATTAAAGCAGTGACCACGCAGAGGGACCACGGGGATGACATGTCAGCCCATGAGCTGGAAAAGAACGGATGTGCTTTTATTGTCCTTGGTTTTCTCTGTGTACAAGTGTGTGTATGAGTGTGTGTGTGTGTGTGTGACAGAGAGAGAGAGCATGCATGTGTGCATGCGTGTGTATGTGTGTGTGTGAGTGAGAGAGTGTGCGTGTGTGCATGTGTGTGTGTGTGTGTGTGTGTAGGGGGAGGGGCTCATATGTATACAGCTGCAAGTGCAGATGTGTGTGGGTGTGTACCTGGCTGCAGAGGCCAGAGGTCAAGCTCTGGTATCATTCCTCAGAAGCCATCCACCTTGCTTACCGAGATGAGGACTCTTGCTGGCCTGGGATGACTGATTAGAAAAGGCTAAGCTGGTCAGGGAACACAAGGGACCTGCCTATGTACATACCACCGTGCCAGGGTTTTGTTTTTCTTTTAATGATTTATTTGTAATTACGCATGTGTATCTGTATGTGTGTAGGTGTCAGATGTCCCCTGAAGCTGGAGGTATAGACTGTTACAAGTCACCTGCTGTGGGTGCTAAGAACCACAGTTGAGTCCTCTGCAAGAGCAGCTGCCTGCTGTGAAAACGTTGAGCTACAGGTGCAGCCCCACCGCACAGGGAGCCCCTTCCCCCCAGGGGCTGGGGATCAAATACCACTCTTCATGTTTGCACGGCAAGCGTCTCTAACCATGATCTGTCTCCCTAGGCCCGTGTCAATCTTCTTAATGCCACAACATGGAAACTATGCTAAGTTAAAGCATATAGGCTGGCAGAATGGTTCTGTTTCTCTCTCCTAGCTCATCCTTGCCACTACATAACTCACTAAGCAAAGCTCACCACAGTTCTCATGAAATGAAGTTCTGGAATACTGTACACAAACTAAACAAACTAGACTTGGGGTAAAAAGCAAAACGTACCTGCCTCTAGCACCATGTGCCTTACGAGTCTACAAGGAGGCCCTTCCCCTTCAGGAGCTTGAGACCCTTATAAAGGACTGCTGACAGGCAGGTCACCCCATAGATTAAGCAGGGCTCTCTGATGGTGCATTACATAAATTTAACCCAAAAGAGCAGGGCTGTGCCCAAACTTTCACTTTCCTCTCATTTCTACTTAGACTTCCATTGCCTTTTGAGGTAACACAGTTTATCACAACTGATAACATCCTCTTTAATATTCTTCTTTTAGAAGACTCTATGCTATCTCCTTAGAGCTGTACTATGTGATGGTGCAATTCTGCATACATACATGTATGTCCATGTACAGATGTGTATATGCATACACAGACACATGGGCATCTTTAAGGTTAAAAAACAAGCCCACATGGTTAGGAACGCAATTTTGTGCCAAGAGTAAACCATTTACTACTTATTTATCTTTAACTTCTTGAGATGGAGTTTCATGTAGCCCAGGCTGGTCCCCAATTCTCTATGCAGTAAGGCCGACCCTGAACCACTGGGCCTCCTGTCTCTCCCTTCCGAGTGCTGGATTGAGAATGTGTGCTTATATGCCTTTTAGAAATAAGAGAGTGTTGTCTTAACTTTTCACAAGATTTCTTTTTCCTTTTCTGTCTCCTCTGTGGCAAAATGGGTCACAGTAAATGAGGACATAGGGTCAGGGTCTACATTATTCCTAAATATGAAGCCCATGTAGAAACCCATGGGAAAGGGGGTACTCAGAATGGGTGTGTCTAAGCCAGTGTCAACTTTCAATTAGCGCTGTCAGTGAAGCTAAAATTGATAAGACATAAATTAAAACTGATTATACTCTATGTAAACTACTGGTTTTACTTGTTGACTATGAATTGTAACTTATACTAAAAAGGGACACTAAGAGGCTATCAACAACATTCACATGTGTAAGTTACATACAAACATCAGCCGATGGCGTGAACCTTTTATCCCAGCACTCAGGAGGTAGAGGCAGAAGGATCCCGAGTTCGAGGCCTGCCTGATCTACACAGTGAGTAGCAGGCCAGCTGGGGCTATGTAGTGAGATCCTGTCTTGAATAACCAACTTGCTGTTAAGATCATGTTGAAGAACCATAGAAAGAAGTAGGAAGAAGTACCTTGTTTTCTGGCCCCATTCTACTGACCAAGTATCCCAGGAATTGCAGGGAAAAATGAATTCAGGTCATGTGGCTAAGACAGGACTAGACCCTGGAACTTAGCTTTACACTGCTACTTTAAGCTTACACAGACATCATCCACAGACAGGAATGGTTACAGTTCTATCCATCCAAAAGATCAGACACCTACTTAATATTACCATGATGCATATATGTAGGTATGTACATACATATGTATCAATGTACATATTGGCTGTACTAAAAACTAAAACCGAGGCCTCATGTGTGCTAAGAAACTATCATTGAACTATATCCCAGCCCTTCAGCTTTTTATTCTGAGAGAGGATCGCCCCACTTTTCCTAGGCTATTCCTAACCTTGTGATCCTACTGCCTCACCCTTCTGATAAGCTGGGAATAAGATCTTCTGCAACAAGGTCTGGACCTCCAATCACGGATTCTGAAAGTTGCTAGCAACCATGCAAACATATAAATATGAACATGCCCCTGGGGACCATACAACAAAGTCCCCCAAAGCACCAACTCTGAAATTAGATTTACTGAAACTAGATCCAGTATGTATGCATAAGTATGTATGTATGTATGTGTATGTGTGTGTGTGTGTGTGTGTGTATGTATGTATGTATGTATGTATTTATATGGGGAGGTAGGGGTGGGGAGGGGGCTGCTTGCTTGTTTGCTTGCTTCCCTGACCTGGAACTCACTATGTGTAACAGGCTGGCCTCAAACTCAGGGAGCTGCCTCTGCCTCCCAAATGCTGAGATGAGAAAGTGTATGCACTGCCACATCCAGCTGAGACCAGTGTTTACTTTCACTTCTAACTCTAGGCCAATGAGAGTTAGCTTCCTTGATGTAACTTTTCCTGAGATGGCTCCAACAAAGCCCCCCATGAGAAGTTATAAAGACCAGACAACGTGTTGAACCCTAGAACCAGCTCAGGCAGCCAAGCTTCGGTTGGTTGGGGAAGGGTCAAACTTACTGCTCAGAGTCATAGTAGTCCATCCGCTTCTTCTTCTTGTTGTAAGCTGCAACTCGGAAGGGAACGATTTCCAAGGTAATCAGGCCGGGGGCCATCGTCAGCACTTTGGCACCATGGGTTGGCTCATAGAGGTCCTTCCCTGTCTCCGGATGAGGCATGCCAGCAGGGTCTCGTCCAACAATATAAAAATTGGCTCCGGCCACCATCCGCGCCCTGCAGTGCCACTGGACCTAGAATAGATGTCTGCATCTTAGAAAACTATGCTCTGATGACTACTGAGAAACCATAGAGAATAAATGCATGTGTATCTCTGCCAGCTGCCCCACTGAGCAGCACCTCCACGTATGTCTCACGTCATCACTGCCTAACAGTCAGAAGCCCCAACGAATTTACCGTATCTTCTTGGGGAGCTCGAATTAAAACCAGGCCCTCGAGCCAAAATCATAGCTGGGCATGAATATATATGTGCATATATTTATGGATTACTTGCTTATGAGATATAAGGATGCGCATACATCTGTGTGTAAGATTTTACATACACATAAGCTATTCACAGAGCTCAAACCCCAATCTGCAAGTCAGGATAGAGGCTGAGCCTTGGACAGAAGTGAGGATGTGGGGCCTTTTGAAGGAGTAATAGGGCAGGTTCAGGTCCCAGTGGACACTGTACTGGCTGCCAGATACTGGTGTAAAATACGACCTAATTAAGGAAATACACAAGAATCCACACAGCCGTGTGTTCCAACTGCCCCCGTTTACATGTCTCTGCTCCCTTACGTAGAATCTGTTTCTAACACAGAGTCATTTAACAACTGGAGAATAACATTGCTGACAGAGAGAAGTCCCCATCTCCAACAATGCATTACCCTCCCCCTCCCCAAGGGAAAAACCTAAATGGTAATCCTCATTACAGCTTCATATGCTCAGAATATGGCTGTCAGTTACATAGTCTCAAATCCATCCTTTTTCTTTTTTTGACACTTTTACATAACATATCTTGGAAAGCAAAATTATCCGTAGGAGAGGAAATTTAGTATTTAATGACAAGAGAAAAACTGATTTTCAATTTGCCAACTAATTATTCATATAGATAAAATTATATATTCACACCATTTTAAGCATTTGAAAGTAAATACTTCCCCTCACGGCTCCCACTCCATTCCTAGGATGGAATTTCAGAACCAAGCCATTAAATTTTTATAGACTGGAAAATGAGGAACATCCTGTTGATAACCGCACAGCCTTACCAGCTGCTCATTGTTCTGAAGTGCATCTGTGCTAAGGAAACAAATCTGGTACCAATGCCTTCTAAATAACCCAGAGAACGATTAAAGGAGAATCACTGTTTGTATTTTATTATGACAATTTGGCAAATACGTCTTATTGGCAGCTTTGTTCCTGATGTCACTGGAAAAACTAGAAAAACGAGAGGTTTTTTATTATTAATATTGTAAGAAAAGTCTTCAATTAAGGGCTGTAAATAAGCCAAGCACATAAGGGAAGCACTACAGGGAAAGGCGTGATGGAACCAGGCATGGCGGCACTCTTAGAATCCAAATTCGGGAGGCAGGGAAAAAAGGACTGTATAGCCTAGGCTACACGGTGAGTTACACAGTAGCCTGGGCTACACAGCAAGACCTTACCTCAAAAAGAAAGGGGAAGAAGAGACCAAGAAGAATGGGTCGATTTTCATAAGCCGCTTAAATCGTGCCAGGTCATAAACATTGAAACATTTAACTACTTAAAATATTAACAACTGCTACAACTTTTAGTTTATTCATCAAAGGCTGAAAAGTTAAAACTGCCCCTTGCTCAGGAACAAAACCTGGAACATGCTGATTCAATCATGCATCTCTATTCACTGCCCACACTCAGCCAGAGACCTAGGGGTGGACTCAGGTGCCCAGAACACCAAGCCTTGAATATGCATCACAGAGCCTGACATCTTTACCCTCCCACCCACCATCAGGGGAGGGCTACTCTGAGACCTCTGGCAGCAGTGTGCTCTTGTATAAAGAGCATGAAGCCCAAGGGGCAGGCCACATAGTCACAAAGGCCATAGAGGCCGGTGGGCATCAGCTGTGAGTCTTGCTGGATTTAAAGCTGGCCTAACTCTGGCCAGCTGCCCTTGAGCCTGCTAGCCTTGGTCTTCCAGCTGTATAGAAAAAAACATCTGCTGATTGCATACCCCATGCACCTTTTAGGTCCTCTAGCCACTCAAGGTGGCATCTGTGTGTCCTGGCCTACTGGAGGTCTGCTAACCTCACTAGTTCCTCACTTCTGTTTCTTCTCAGTAATATGTCCACTGACTGCACTGTGCCCCCCATCCATAAATCCCCAATGGGAAGGCTATATTCAGAGTGGAGTTCGGTTCTACACTGAGGCCTTTTTGCTACTGCAATGTTTCTGGGTACAATTTGACTTCACTACCTTAACTACTGCTCAGCTCTGGGTTTCTCTGACACACCTCAGCTGTGTTACACACTCTCTGGAACCTCATGGGTAGAATTAGGATAAAGTCCTTGGGTTACATAATGCACGCAGAGCCACAGTTCAGTGTGTGACTCGTACTCAGACACGCAAAGATGTTATTTCTACTTTCTTTGTATTATTAGCATTCTATAGTTAGACACCAAGGGCATTTTGAATCAGGCCAAGGGCTACGTTCTGACGTGAAGCCTATGAATGGCAAGTCATCCCAGGCTCTCTGCCATATTCCAAGCTCTAAGGTTTTAACACAGATTTATGAATCACTCTTAAGAGGCAGCACTTTTATGTAGAGTCAGGATACGGATGGTGAGAGCCTGCAGCAAAGTCATTACTCTTTTTCAGGCAGCCAATAAGACACGCTTTTACATATTGGTATCAGCCAGATAGTGAGATGTACGATTTACAGTTACCCTAGTTAGTCCGTATAAAACCAGTAACACAAACACAGAAGGGTCAGGCGTGGTGGCACACACCTTTAATCTCAGCACTGTGGAGGCAAAGACAGACACATCTCTGGGTTCAAGGCCAGCCTGGATGCTATAGGAACATAGGGAGTCCCAAGCTAAGCCAAAGGTGCATAGTGAGATACTGTCTAAGAACACAACAAAACCCACAGGCATGTACCATTAATAATATGAGGATGATATCCCAATCTTAGAAAGCATCCGAATACAGATTATACAAAGAAAGCACAAACTCCCGCTCTGGACTATGACAAGCAGATATGAAAACTATTCAATAGGAAACTCCATCTCTAAGATACGTATGCCAGAGCCATGTCAACTCATTATTTTAAAACGTCTATGAATGTATTTCCAGTCCCCTTTCAAAACATACCCAGTTGTGGTTTTCAACTACTGTAATGTTAAACAATACCAGAGACCAGACTGCAATGCAGGGCTTTGGGACCAGATCACTAGGGTGCAATTTCCATCTCCATGGCTTACTACCTGCTCTACTGACTTATAGCAACTGTTTAGCCTCTGTAATGGGTCTCCTCTGTAAACAGATAATAACAGTACCTGCTCTCTTAGTGTCCTTATAATAGCTAAGTTAACATATGCAATTCAAAAAACAACCAAAAAATGAAACAAACAACATATGCAAATCATCTGGTATATACAGTGAGAGCTCAGTAAAAATGAGCTACTAGGGGTTGGAGAGATGGCTCCATGTTTAAGACCAACGGCTGCTCTGCCATAGCACCCAGATTAACTCACAATCGCTGGTTACTCCAGTTCCAGAGGCTCTGACACCCTCTTCTGACCTCCATGGACGTCAAGCACACATGTGATAGACATACACACATGCAGGCAAAACACCCATACACATAACAAAATTTTCAGTAGGCTAAGACATCTTATTTCTTAATCACTACCTAGAACTACGGTCATTTATAATCAATTTCTATTCCTTCTTTAGTGAAATTGATCCAACACGAAGATCCTTAAGATGGGTTAAGAAACAGCAGTATTACAGAGAATATGGCTAAAGAGTTAGGATCAGAGGGCCATAGTGGCTAACAAGCCAGACAACCCAGAGCTGGTGAGGATACACAATGCTGGCGTTGTGAATTGGCACATCTGTATTAGAAAGGGCTTGGAGACCTCTCCTATGACCAAATACACATTCCTATCCAGCTATTCTACTCAACAGTAACCAACAGAGACTCACAAAAGACAGGTACTGAAATCTATATCACCACACAGTTCACAGCAAAAATCAGATGGAACAGAGCCCAAAAAATGCTCAACAGTGTTACAGGAAGTCACACACCACAGACTGAGAGTGAGCAGTCTACCACTGACTATAGTGAGCCAGGGGAAGTAAAGTGAGAGAAGCCACACGTAAAAGGCCATCTCATCAGATTCTGTTACTGTGGCAGCGCAGGTCACTTAGGAAAGTGGAGTAAGCATTCAGTCCTGAGAGCGCAGCCAACAGGCACCCCGTAGCTGCCAGATGTCTTCAGAAACAACCCTGCTGTAGAGAGCAGCAGGTCCAAAGAAGGCATCTTCTTTGGCAGCCAATGACTAGTCAATATGGCTGATGCCTGTTTCTATGCAACTCAGGGCATCTCTGAAGGATCTCCCAGAATCCTCTGGGGTACAGAGGTTCAGACTCCATCTCCATCACTCACCACTGTGTGGTTCTGAGCAAGCTATGCAAACTATCTACATGGGTTATCCTTACCTAGAGTGGTGGCTCAAGAGTCCAGTTAGTTAATATACTTAACACCAGAGACTGGACTTCTCCCTGTGCCCTGCCTGTCTGCCTTCCTTCTCTTTCCTTTCTCTTTCCTTCCAAGGGTGACAGCAAGGGCTCTCATGGATCTCCTGAACTCTCTTGCTCGACACTTGGTATCCAGGGCACACAACCTTCAACGTGAGGAACCAGGACCTCACAGGAAGGGAGAGCAGAGACTCCTGTGGGAAGGACAGGTACAGCTCAGCAGGAAGAGGAGCAAGAGCTTCTGGATGCTAGGTGTGTACTAAGGTTTATTCTGGAAAATTTAGCTTAAACGAATACCTACAAAATGTCTCCTTTTTTCCTATGTATAGTTCAATATGAAATTAAAATAAGACAAATTAGAAAATGTACAGACAGAATATAGAATACTTAATCTTACTGTACATCCTTCAAACAAACACTCACGTGCACATACACCCAGCTCAGATGTCTAACAGATTACAAAGGAAGCTGGTGCCAAACTGGTTCGGATTCAGGCTGCAGCCCTCAGTACAGCCCTGCATCATCACTATGTTCACTAGATTTGTTCTTATGGGTAGTGACCAGAGCCAGTAAGTGAGCCAGAGCCGGTTCAGGACAGGCCATTGCAAAATCTCACCACCTGAGAGCACCAGAACCAAGAAGGGCGTACTTCTCTCCTCCTTCCTTCTTCCTCAAAGAAGCTTCAAGTCCAGCTGACCTGCCCTAAAGTTGGCGGTAAGGCTCTCTTGACATAGAAGAAAGAAATGTTCCTTTCTCTGAAGAGAAGGGGACAGAGAGGAACGTAAACAGCAGGCCTTTCTAAGTCCCCAGGCCTAGCAGTAGCCAATCATATTCCCTTCCTTCCACTCAACCTGCACAGACAATATCCAGCCTTCCTTGGGTCTTTATTTATAAAGGCTTTCGTGTCATGGAAGACTTGAATTTGGTAAATATGTGTGCTCTCCTTATGCTAATCTCTTTGTAAGGGATGTCTCAGCCACGAACTCAGTATGGGTGAAGGGATGAATTCACCACCAACTGCTCAACTATGCAACTGTGCCTTGCAAAGAGGAAAGACCTTAGGTATCTTCACTGTTCTTTGTTTTGTGTGTTTACTCTGTGTGTGTGTGTGTGTGTGTGTGTGTGTGTGTGTGTGTATGCGTGTGTGCGCGTGTGTGTGTGTGTGTGAGTGTGTGTGTGTGTGTGTGTGTGTGTGTGTTAGGAATTTGCTATCCTAATGAGCCCGTATAAAAGACTCACAACCCAGGTATTTTATTTAAAGTCATAATCCTAGATTAGGCAGACCTAGGTCTATACTAACTTATTTTCCAGCTATAGGTCCCTTGTTACTTGTCATGTGGATCTGGTCCATGGCGGCTTCTTCCTCCTTAATCTTCTTCTCCAGTCTCTCTACCTGAAAGCCCCTTACTTGAGCCTCCAATGCCATGCTACTCCCTCCACTGCCCAATCACAGGCTTTCACTGATCAGTTAAATTGGGGAGAAGGTTCACATGGCATCACTTTGAGTACATGATCTGCTCATTGGGAGCACCCACATCTTGAGGAACAAGTACTTTACATTAGAATACAAGCACCATCAGACCAATCCACTTAATCTATATGTCTGCATGTCTGTGTGTTATGTCTGTGTGTCTGTATGCCTATGTGAGTGGCTGTGTGTATCTATGATGAGGGAAGGGAGAAGCTCATGGGCACACAGAATGCAGAGAAGGATGTTGGATGGTCTGCGCTATCATTCTCTGTCCTATTCCTTTATGACATCTTGTACTGAATCTAGAGCTAGGCTGGCATCTAGCAAGCTACAGCAATCCTCCTGTCTCCACCCTCCATGGCGCCTAGGTTACTGTCACATGTAGAACCATCCAGTGCCCATTTTTTTAAGTATGTGCTGGGATCCAGACACATCTTCAAGACATCTCTCTAGCCCTTACTCTCACTTCCTCATCTTCCTTCAGAAGCACAACTGACAGAACCTAAGGCATAAGATCTTTCCAGTCAAAAGCTAGGCATGGTGTAGCAGGCTTGCAATCCCAGTACTCCCATACTCTGAAGGTACTGGCAGGAATACCAGGAACTCAAAGATAGCTTTAGCTACATCTTGTGTTTAAGGCCAGCCTGGGATACATGAGTCCATGATCCCAAAACCCTGTCTAACTCAAGGAAGGCTCTTCTGATTGTTATCACAGCCTATTTCATTACAAATCCTCCTATCCTTGGTTTTTGTTTAAAGCATTTTTAGTTAACGTACTGAATAAAATCTCCTATCAACCCCACCTTCAAACATAAGAATCACAGAGCGAACAAGACAGGTCCCAAAACAAGAGGCTCATTTTCTTGGATGGAATTTAATGAGGTCATTGCTCATATACCTACTCCTGCCTGTTACAGTTATGGCTTCTATTGCTGTGATAAACACTGTATCTTGGGAAGATATGGGCTTACACAGCTGGCAGTCCATCACTCAGGAAAGCTAGGCCAAGAACTCATGGCAGGAACCTGGAGACAGGAACTGATACAGAGGCCTTACTGAGGCTTGTTCATACTACTTTCTTATTACACACAGGACCAACAGCCAATAGTGAGCTAGGTCCTTCCACATCGATCATCAGTCAAGAAAATGCCCCACAGGTTTGTCCACAGGCCAATCTGGTAGAGATATTTTCTTAATCAAGGTTCCCTCTTCCCAAATGACTACAATGTGACAGAAACTAGTTGACAGAAAACTAGCCAGCACACTGGCCTAACCTCATTTGGGTCATTCCCCAACTAGACAATGTCGTACCATTCTAGACAACCTCAGATCAAATGACTTGCTTAAATGATGAGGCTCATGTCATCAATACTGTTGGAACACAGTCCAGAAATGGAGTCTTGTAAAGAGAATTCTGTGAGACTCCACAGATATCTTGTGACCTCAGTTTCTTCAAAACATGGAATTGTTCTTGGAATGTGTTTCGTGCACCTCCCCGGTGTAGTGGATAGGAGTGAGTATATTTCAGATTATTTATTATTGCTTGCTGCTGTTATTCAATTAAATGTTTTAAATATCCTTTATATGCCTCTGTGGAAAAACCTGTTCTTGTCACAAGCAGCTGGTCCTTGTGATTGAATACATCTTGAACTTAATGAGAGCTTTATTTGTGTGACCTCTCTTACCCCTCAGAGTATTAACTGTCTGGGGGTCTGAGTAAAGTTGGCTGTTGCATGAGACTTTAGTCCACCTCTTTATCAGCTTGATTCTCCCAGGTTCCACCACCTCTAGAGGAGGTCCCAGCTAGAGGTACTACGAAACAATGTGGGAAATGCAAGAACTAAACCGAAGTCATGGAGATATGGCCAACACCCAGGGCCCTCGGGGGCCAACTCTACCCAACACCTTACTCCAACAGAAGGAGGAGCATCATGGGACGCTTACCACACACAACATTTCAACACATTAGTGAACATGGATTCACTAAAAGAAGAGCCAGCTGTTTTTATCTCCTCGACTCCTGACTTGTTCGCTGCTTTCCTTGTGTAAAGTGGTAACAGAGAGTTCAACCCAATAAACTGAGCTCCAATAAAGATTCTTAGGCTCCATCCCAAATAGTCAAAGGTCTTAGACTATCTTTTCAGATGTTTGTATCACTAAAACTACTTAGATCTTTTTAAAAAAGAGTTTGCCTCTCAGAAAACTGTAAGTGCCGTGATAATGTGCAGGCCATTTTTACCTTGAAAATACAAAAGACTGCCTGGGAAGTTGCCACCCACCACCTCTGAGGTCAGTTGATTTATTAACTCATTCAGCAAATATATTTTGAAAATCTACTCTACTCTACCTTGAAACTGAAACATAATTTTCATCTTCTTTACATATGGATACAAAAAGATCTCAAACATTCTATTTGACCATGGGGAGAATTCCAAAACCCTGTCCCCATATCAAGAAGCAAATTTACTTCTTGATTCAGTCATGCTCCAAATGAAGATGGCCTCCTGGGAGCTGGAGAGAAGGCTCAGGAGTTCAGATCCAGTACTGCTCTTCCAGAAGAGTTAAAAGTCTCAAGCTCAGTTCCCAGTACCCATGTTGGGTGACCAACTAATGCCTGTACTTTCAGCTCCGGAGAGTGAATCCAGTACCTCTGGCCTCTTCCACAGACACCTGTACTCATATGCATACACACAACCTCAACTGACATACATAGAGACACAAAGTTAAAAGTAAACCCTTTAAGAATTTAATGTCCTGCTGGATACCTTTCTAAAATATTGAATGCATTTCACATTCAGATGGATACATGTACATGAAATTCTTTGAGATCAGAGGTGAAACAATTATTTGGTCCTTGAAAGTTATCCTTCCTTCATAACTAGTGTGGAACTACTGGGCAGTAGTGAGACCTTTAAGAGGAAGGGAGGGCATAAGGGTCCTGACCTTCAGGGAAATACTGGGACCCTGGCCCCTTCCACTCCCTTTGTCAGGCCACAGTGCAAACACTCTGTTCTGCCATTCCATCCCACCATGATGTGCTATTTTACCACAGGCCCAGAAGCAACAAGACCAACCAGTTACATACTGAAGCACTCAAACCATGAGCCAAAACCTCTTCTGTTTATGAGTAATTAGTTCAGGTATTTGTACAATGAAAACAGCTTGCTTGTCGGGCAGTGGTGGCGCACGCCTTTAATCCCAGCACTTGGGAGGCAGAGGCAGGTGGATTTCTGAGTTCGAGGCTAGCCTGGTCTACAGAGTGAGTTCCAGGACAGCCAGGACTACACAGAGAAACCCTGTCTTGAAAAAAACAAAAAACCAAACAAAAAAAAAAGAAAACAGCTGGCTTGTACCCTAAAGTCCCTTTAGCTCTTGAAAATTTTAGAAAAAGCAAAAATCACACTGCTCCGGGCCTCTGTTAAAAGAACAACATCGGTGTTATAACTGTATCTGGACCTGGGCTCATGGATACAAAACAACCATATGCTAACACACTGTTAGTGTAAACACAGGAGAATGAGAACTCAGCAATGCTGAATGTTTGGAACACATCCGGGCATCAGGGAACAGTCAATAGGTCAGTTGGTGATAATACAGTGTTCACAAGAATGGTTTTAGTACTACAGTGGTATCTTAAGAGCAGCCTACCTCAGTTGGCCCAGCATACATCATAGGAGATGGAAAAATGGCCACCACTGTTGTTTCAGGATTCAGGATACCCTCCTCCAGTACTGCAGCATGCTGCTTCATACGCCACATCAAAGGGACATCATCATCCTTCGTCCAGCCACCGAGAGGGTGGAGGAGGAGGACAGGGCGCCGATAGCCCCTCTCCAGAAGCTGCTTGTGGGTGTCCTGCATTAACAGAGCATGTCCATTGTGCACTGGGTTGCGCAACTGAAATGCAAAGACAGCATCTGAAAAGAGAATTTCCAGAGTTAGGGCTTTCCAGCATCACCCTGCATGGGACAAGCCAGTTTTTCCTGGCTGATGCTCACAAGTAACAAACACACGAGCTGAGAATCACAAATGGGTAAAGCCATGGACTGGTGACTGCTCATTCCAAGACAGCTGACATACACTACAATTCAGTAAAAACAGCCCTTGCTCACCGGAGGCCATGTGATCCGGGTGCCACAGACTCAGGGTGGTTACTCCTGCATTCAGGGGAAATGACAACTGTCGGGCTTTCTTTCAGTCCTAATATTCAACTGCTTTCAACAGGTGTAAAGTCAAAGTCAGTGTGTCAATGACCCATCAAATCCTCCAATGGCCCTAAAGACCTGAGTTGGGTTACTCATTTTCAAGGGCTTTATAAAAAGAGACAGCTTATGAAGAGAGCTACGGCTTCCCTTTTCACTTGCTACCCACATGTATGCAGATTACTCTGAGAACAGAGCCACTCAGTTGTCTTCTGACTCTGGACTCAGGATTGCAATATACCAGCAACACTCTCACTTACGGGGACCACTGCTATTATTCAAATGGTGAAAGCTACAAGATGAATCGAATGGATTAGCCACTGTCTGCTTACAATCCCAGTTGCACTCCTCCATGTGTGGCTACCAGGGGACCTCGTGTCAGAAGCCAGGGTTCTTTGGGATATGGAGTAATTTCACAGAACAGGGAAACAACTGTGGCATATGAGCCCTGTGTTTACCATTCTCTGGACACCTGCTCCATCACCCCACCATGATGGCTGGACTCAGACACTCAGTATTTTTTTACTGTTATTCATTTTTGCTTTTATTAAAAATAATAAAAGATTTACCTTTATTATTTTTAATTATGTGCAGTTGTGTACGCCTGCGTAGAGTATATGCACATGAGTGCAGGTGCCCTTGGAGACCAGAGGTGTAGGATCCCCCGGAGCTGGAGTTACAAGCAGCTGTAGGCTGCCTGACGTGGATGCTGGGTACCAAATGCAGGTCATTTTTAAGAGTAATAACTGCTGATTCACTTCTCCAATAACACCTCTCACAATGGACATCATCTTCGATCTACTTCCAATTCTGATCCCTCTCTCGCCATGACAGAAGCACAGAGAACTGTCACAAATGACTAAAATTGGGGGTGTGGGGGGGTTGTCATGGCATATCTTTTAATATTTAATGTTTGGAATATTATCATTATCCTTAGGCATTCTCAAATTACTTTTCAAACATCAGCAGGCTTTTGTTTTCTAATCCAAAAAGGATGCGATGTGTCCTTGGGTACAAGGTACGGAAAAGTCTTGATTGAAGCATATGAGCACTTAACACTGTTCAGCTTGGAGGAGTGGTCCAGAACTGATCACTGCTGTTACCTTTTAAAGTACGTTGGAAATTCTGTTTTTACATAGGGACATACAGGATCCTAACCATCTCCGAGCTTTAAAGCTCACCTCAGACCAAGAGGCATTTTTACTTCCTAACTTAATTAGACTCGGATCTTAGAGCACTGAAGGCTGCCGACTGCAGGAGCACAGGCATCTCTCTTCACTTAGGGAGGTACTGCTCAAACGTGGCTCTAGCCTGACTCTCACCATTGAGTGTTCTTCCCTGGCTGCTCTTCCTTGGCCTTCCTCTGAGTAACCTGTACTATTAGACTGGTCTGAGTTACTACACCTGGGGGCCTGCCAGAAGTTAGGGAAACACAGACTAGCTGATATTAGAGGCAACAGGTCCATGGCTGAGAAGGCAGCCTGTTTGCCTGGACAATTTAACATAAAAGGACATAGTGCAGACAAGCCACTAAACAGTGGGGAACTGACAAAGGTTTTCACCATAAAAGGAAGACCTACATACAGAATAGAAAAAGACCGAACAGATTACATGGTGTGGGCTAGAATTAAAAGTGTTAGTGTATTTCTATGGTTTCTAGTACAGCAACACAGATACACAGATATGTATATGAGTGTATAAATCAGAAAGAGAGAGGGAGAGAGATGGGGGAGAATGTAACCAGCCCCTGAGATACGGGGAGAATTGATTCCAAGATGCCCCTCGAGTACCAAACCACAGGATGCTGTAGCTCCTTATATGCAATGGCATCCTATTTGTAGTCAACATAAGCACATGCTTCTGCATTCTTTACAGTGTCTTCAAGTCACTCCCAATGGAGAGCAAAACATCAGTGCTCTGGGCATGCAGTATGCCATATGGTTTAGGGAACAGTGATAATAGCGTCTGCATGTTCTCAGTAAAGACACAATTTTACTCCTGAGTACTTTTTATCCAGGGTGAGCTAGGTCTACAGAGGCAGGACCAGAGGATCAAGAATCAGAGTGCCACCATTCGGCAGTATTTGAGGCAAGCTAGGCAGCACCCCAGGCAGCACCGGGGGTGGGTGTTGCTCAGGGTTACAGTGCTTGCCTAGCATAGCAAGGCCCTGGTCTCAGCTGCCAACACATAGAGAATTTTAAAAGGCAGGCAAAAGTATGATAACAATGGAGTAGTTATATATCCTGAACACCTCTCCTCCAAATACTTGTGAGGAATTGTACAAAATAGTTCAAACTCACATGAGAAAAGTGATAAAGACTAATATTTTTGGTAAGGCTAACCTCACTCATCATAAGGATAGGTGAGAACTGTAAGCCACATGCTAGCAATGCAAACAATGCTGCTTGTGTCCTTCGGCATTCTTGACAGAAACGTGTGATGACGGCAGTCATGAAGAAATGGGTAATGAGCCACACTGAGTCATAACGAAAATGATGTGACGCGCACTCTGTAAAACTTCCAAGTTCTGAAAGTCTAAATGTTCCAAACTGAAGGAAACTAAAGACACCTACCCTGGACTCTGGATCAGAAGGGACAGCAAGTTAGAGAATGAACTGCTGACATTCTCACCATAATAAAGGACCCCACTGGGAGACGAGAAACTGGAGAGATGGCTACGATGGTTAAAGGCACTGGCTGGTCTGTCAGAGAACCAGGGTTCAGTTCCCAGTACCCACAGGGCAGCTCACAATCATCCTTAACTCCAGGTACCTCTGGACTCTAGAGGCACCAGGCACACATATGGTACTCTTATATACACACAACAAAACACTCATACACAGACTATTTTTAAGGATCTCACTAGGAAGGAAAACTGCATCCTTTGGGTAGAACTCAGAGCCAGGAGGACTGTACCAATGGTACTGTTCTGAGGTGATGAGCCCAGCACAGGCAGGCTAAAGACTGCCTTTACTTGTTGGACAATAAGACCTTTGTGTCTGAAAGCCACGCCCAGAGACAAAGATGACATAAAAACAACAACAGAAAGATGTCAATAATATGAAATCTGAGTTAAAATGTATAAGAATTTTAACCTTGGAATATTTCTATAACTTTTCAATTATTTTAAAATTAAAAAGTTCAGCATACCCATGATATAACTCACAGACCATGTAAAGCTTAACAAGAAGGAAGGCTCAAGTGAGGATGGTTCAATTGCACCTAGCAGGGGGAACAAAATAATCACTGGAGGCAGAGGGAAGGAGGGACCTAGGTGGAAGAGGAAAGGAAAAGGGAAAAAGAGGGGCAGGTTCAGGTATGGGGGAGACAGGAGAGAAGGCTAGGAGAATGAATGGAAATATGCGGCAGTGTGGGGTGGAAGATGGGGAATAGAACCACTACAAAGTGACAGACACCAGGGATGAGAGAGGCTCCCAGGACCCAATAGGGATGACCTTAGTTGAGACATCCAATAGTAGGGAGATGGAACCTGAAGAGAGCACCTCCAGTAGATAGGCATGGCTCCCAGTTAATGAATGGGGCTACCCACCCATCTAAAAATTTTTGACCCCGAATTGTTCCTGTCTAAAGGAAATGCAGGGACAAAAATGGAGAAGAAACTGAAGGAAAGGCCATGCAGAGATCGCCCTAACTTGGAATCCATCCCACGGGCAAACACCAAACCCTGATACTACCACTGATGCCATGTTGTGCTTGCAGACAGGAGCCTGGCATGGCTGTCCTCTGAAAGACTCTACCAGCAGCTGACTGAGACAGATACAGATACTTACAGCCAACCATTGGACTGAGGTGGGGACCCCTATGGAAGAGTTAGAGGAAGGACTGAAGGAGCTGAAGAGGATTGCAACCCCATAGGAAGAACAACAGTATCAACTAACCAGATACCTCAGAACTCCCAGGGACTAAGCCACCAACCAAAGAGCACACATGGGCCAGTCTTTGGCTCCCACTACATATGTAACAGAGGACTGCCTTGTCTGGACACAGTGGGAGGGGATGCGCTTGGTCCTGAGGAGGCTTGATGCCCCAGAGAAGGGGGATGCTGGAGGGGTGAGATAGGACTGGATGGGTGGGCGGGAAAGCACCCTCTTAGAGGCAAAGGGGATAGGGACAGGGTGGGGGGTTCATGGAGGGAGTACTGGGAAGAGGGACAACATCTGAAATGGTAAATAAATGAAATAATTAATAAGAAATATATATACTTAAAAATAATAAAAAAAATTTAAAGCAAAGCAGAAAACTAAGACAGGAGAGACAGACACAAATCACAATTTGTAGAGCTTATTACATTTAAGATGAACTGAAGAAAGAGTTACTTGTTTTAAAGAAAATACTAGAATTTGAACACTAGACATCTGACAGTTTTGAAGTGAGCTGACCTCGTGGGCGGAGCAGCAGTCCCGTGGCTGCGCCGTGGAGGCCTTCACTGTTATAGAGATGCATACTGAGCCATTTAGATGGGATGACATGAGAACTGAGATTTGACTCAGAACATGGAGAGAGCACTCAGAGAGGGCAAGTGATGGCCCAGATGAAAGCCCAGCAACCCCAGCTGGCAGCGCAGAAGCTGAGTCAGAAGCATGGGGACTAGTGAGACTGTTATCTCTGCATGTGTTTTAAATTCCCCGCAACAAAATGTTTTAAAAGCGAAGGCACATGTTGGGGGATCGAGGCAGAACTGCTTTTAAATTCAG